TTTTAAATTTTTAAAAATTTTTTGGTCTTTTTGAGACAGGGTCTCCCTGTAGCCCCAGCTGTCTTGGAACTCACTATGTAGACCAGGCTCGCCTTGAACTCACAGAGATCTGCCTGCCTCTGTCTCCCGAGTGCTGGGATTAAAGGCATGCACCATCACACCCAGCCCTATTTTTATTTTTAAGATAAGCCCAGAGTACCCTCTAACCTGTGATCCTTCTGCCTCAGCCTCCCAAATGCTGGGACTACAGGCATTTGCCACCACAACCCAACTGAATTGGTTTTTGACGAACTGCCAGTTTATATTGGTATTAGTCAGGTTGATGGTGGTAAGAGACCAGAGTACAGTGGCTTTAATTCTCAGGGTTTATTCTGACAGAAATCCCATCTAGAGATAAGTAATACAGGCTGCATTAAGCCTATAAACTTGTCATTATCTCAAACTTATTTTTTCATCTCTGGGGATGGAACCCAGGGCCCCCACATGCTCCTGAAGGACTCCACCACTGAGCTAGACCCCAGTCCCCTTCTTTCTTTATCACATTAGTATGCATCTTCCACCTTTAAGGGTGCTTTATGACTTATAAACATTTACATTTTTCTGTGTATTATGATGTTTTGATGTGTGCGTGTGTGTGTGTGTGTGTGTGTGTGTGTGTGTGTGTGATGCGTGCACATGCACGTGACTGGGAGATGGCTCACCAGTTAAGAGCATTGGATTCCAAGCCTGATGATATGGCTTCCCTCTCTGGGATTCACAAAGTGGAAGGAGAGAACCAGCTCTCTCTCATAGGTTGTCCCCTGATTCTCACATGCTGTTCTTGCAGAAGACCTGGGTTCGAATCCCTGCATCCACATGACAGCTAACAGCTGTCTGTAACTCCAGTTCCAGGGGATTTGACAGCTTCTTCTATCTTCTGAGGGCATTGCACAATGTAGGTGCACTTACATACATGCAGGCAATACACACATACACATAAAATAAAAATAATAAAAAATATATATATATATATTTTTTTTTAAAAAGAAAGAAAAAGAAAAACCCTTCTGGGTTGGTGAGAAACTGGTTAAGGCAAGCTAGTTCTTAAAGATAACCAATGGGCTTGTGGGAACAAGCCTTTGATATGTAAACTAACCAGGTCCAGCAACTAGACCTCCTCAGTCCACCTGCACCTCAGCCTTCCATTGCCTTCATTTCCTAGGGCAAGGTGCCAGGCAGCTAGTGACAACCCCACTAGCCTAAACTTGCTGAAATTATTTGAACTTTTGACCCTGTCCAACTTAGATTTCCTGAAAAAACTTAAAAGCAGCGGCCTAAATATTCTCTCTGCTTTTGTCTTCTGCCTCCTGGACACTTTGGGTTTTTCTCGTAGGCCCTGAGTGGTGCGCACCCTGCTTCTGGTTTCTAGAACCTGAGTTTTCCCTGAGATTCTCTTGGCTCTATCTGTGGCTGTATCTGACTGACCAGCTCAGACAAATCCAAAACAAGGCACAAGAAGTTGCTGAAGTCCAGCCATCCTATCTACATGGCACACTTGAAGGAGGGGGTGGAGAACAGTGATGACAAGAGTGTGTGCCTCCCCCTAGCCTTATCGTAAGTTCCTTTAACACTTCAGCTTTTTAATTAATCCCAGATATTAGTTCCTGAGAGAGGAGAAAAGATGTATCAAAAAGCAACAGGCAGTTTCTGTTACAAGCTATGGGTGGATTTCACTTTTGGGTTTTGTTCTTATTCATAGAAGCTCTTTACCTATAAAGGATATCATCTTTTTAATCTGCTGCAGGAATCACAAAATTTTTCTGTTAATCTTTTGATTTTGTTTATGGTGTTTTGTCACATAGTGATTTCAATTATCCCATAGTTGAATTTACCATTTTTCTTTCCTCTATTGGTCCTGGATATGAGTCATATTTAGGAAGGCTTTCTTATTCCAAAGTCTCTCATTATTTCTTTTAACACTTTTACAAGGATTCTGACCTTGAAAGATTCAACTCCAAGGTCAAACCACATTTCTTATCAAGGTGTTATAGGCTATGGCCATGGTAGCCTGCTCTTTGATTGCAGATGGGGCGATTCTGTTATCTTTGGAGACTTTAACAGTGTCATAAAGTAGCCTAATCCTGTAATAACAGAATTGAATGGTGACTCGAAGATTAACACCAACTGCAGTTCCCTTCAACATAGTTCCTGGGACTTTTGGTCATTGCATGAAACAAGAATACACATGGGGCAAAGATCCATGTGGTCCTTCTGAAAAGAAAATCTAAACAGCCAGAGCAGAAAGTTCTGTCAGGTAACACCTGAACAATATCTATGTGTGTGTGTGTGTAGGGGTGGGGGGGATGCCAAGTCCTGGAGTCAAATCTACATGTAGCTTTTGACTTTCCTCCAACTGAACTGCCAATAGCTTACAACTGACTGGCAGCCTTGCTAACGACAGCAACAGTTGATTAACACATATTTTGTATGTTATATACTGTGAAAAATATGTGAGAACACCCTGGGCGACCACTTTTTACTACTGTACACAATTTACTGGCAAGAGGCACGCTCACATGGAGCTGATTAGCAGCACAGGGTGATTTAAGCAGATACTTGAACTCTTGAGCTCACCGCAATGGCAGTTGTGTGATAGCTGCAGCAAGTGCTGCCATTAACTTGATGCAGTTATGATTTATGCTGCATCTTATGTCTGTTTGCATTTCCTTCGACTGAAAATGGTACCATGTACATCTATGTTTGTGAAAGTTTTGATGAATTTTAACTTTTTAAAATAACAGGTTTGTGTGTCTTTTATGGTGGTAAATAACAGACCCTACATACATTGTATGCATTCATGACACCGCTTTTTGTTGTTATTTCCAGGGTATATGGTTTGTCTTTATGTTTTTCTCATATCTCTAAATCTTGTATATAAAGTGGACCTGCCCAGTTCAAAACTGCATTGTTCAAGGGTTAACTGTAATAGAAAACACAAAAGACATTTGTCAACTGGAGACTGGGTATATTCAAACTGTCACCGTTTACTTTGGCTGGCTACCACTCAGTCTAATAGCTCCTTCCTGTGTCTGGTGATAATGGCCTAGGGGGCAGGCAGAGCAAAGTCCCCAGCACTCCCTACAGTCTGGAGCCACAGGAGTTAGTGAGGGTCACTCCCCTTTGTTAAACCTGGACACTGGCTAATCTCTTTTGCAAATATCCTCTCGTTTATTTTCAGAGACTGGCAAGTTCTTTTTCTTGGAGTGCTTTCAACAGGACACTATCTAGATAAGGACAGTTTCATTGGTTTAAAACTAGTTTGTTTGTTTTTTTTTTAAATCTTTACATGGGCCAGCAAGATAGCTCAGAGTGTGAAAGCACCTCGATTTGTTCCTTTCAAACACAGTTAGACCCTGAAAGGCAGTTACTGTATGACATACACTCCACAGGGAAGAGATAAAATATTGTAATGAAATTTGATGAAACTAGTATCACGTTAAAACATTAAAATTTCCAAACAGAACCATTTTCTACTCTGCCCTTCACCTTCACCCAGTGGAGTACATGGGACAGTAACAGGAGGAAATAATCATTGACCTGCACAGGCAATTACAAAGGTAGCTTTTGGCAAAGCTACAATACAACCTAGAATTCCTGATTTTTAATTCTGACAAGTAATTCGATATGGTAAAAGGAAAATATTTTTTAAACGAGACTTACATGGTCCTTTCATTTCACGGAAGACTGAAATCATGGTAAGCTTAAGGATTGTGTTCTCACGCCACGCTGTGACCTACTGGTGATCACGTGTTTGGTTATGGGTCTGCTACTCCTACAATTTGAGAAAGAGCACTTACTAGGCTATTTTAGTAACCCTGGAGGGAGGAGAGGGCAGCGAAAGAGTTATATGGTATCTTGTGAGACCCATAAAATGTTTGAAGATTTTTAAGCTTCTTGGGGAGCTAAACAAATAAGGTTTGTTTGAGATGTAAAATAAATCATAACCATCAAACCGACTCTCACAGACACCTGAGCTGTAGGCAAAGAATTCTTGTTGCCTAGAAATTAAGTCAAAAGTGACCAGTTTTTTAAAAAATATTTATTTAATTATGTGCCTGTGTATGGATTGTACACATGAGTGCAGATGCCCAAGGAAGTCAGAAGAGGGTGTCAGATCCTCTGAAGCCAGAGTTATAGACAGTTCTGAGCCTCTCGACATGAGTGCTGGAAACCGAACTCAGATCTCTGTAAGAGCAGTACACACCCTTAACTGCTGAGCCATCTCTCCAGCCCCAAATGTTTTTGGTTGGTTTGTTTTAGAGCAAATTTTTAAAGATTGACACAAGGGGCATAGAATGGTCCAACATCAAAATTTAATCTTGAAACCGTTTATCCAGTCCTCAAAATTAACATGAAAAAGAATGATAAATTATAATTTTATCATAACCATCACTGTGTAACAAGCCCTTGTTACAAAATCCATCTACTGTCCCCCCCTCCAAAAAAAAAACTGATAGAAAACCCATACATTATATTACCTAATGATCTATTAACAGATGAAATTTTAACCACTTTATACCAGGAAACTATTAGCAGGGTACTCCAATCATATAGCTTAAAATATGGAGAAAAGACAAGTAAAAAATTACCTTAACTTATAGTAGTCTTTTTGCTTTTTGAAAATTTTTATAAAATACACTAATTTCTCAAAATGAAGAATATTATGACACATTGGTGTCAACGTACACAGATGAAAACTGGTTCCATTTCTTTTTCTAACTTAAGTTCATTTCACAAAACCTTTATGTATTATATGAATATCCAAGTAAAGTACTTTTATAAATTCAAAACACAGGAACATAATATACAGTGTTTGGTAAAATAAATAATGATCTATTAACAGATGAAATTTTAACCAACTTTATACCAGGAAACTATTAGCAGGGTACTTCAATCACATAGTTTAAAATATGGAGAAAAGACAAGTAAAAAATTACCTTAACTTGTAGTAGTCTTTTTGCTTTTTTAAAATTTTTATAAAATACACTAATTTCCCAAAATAAAGAATATTATGACACATTGGTGTTAACTTATACAGATGAAAGCTGGTTCAGCTTTTTTTTTCTAACTAAAGTAAAGTTCATTTCACCAAACTTTTATATATTACATGAATATCCAAGTAAAGTATTTTTTTAAAAAATTCAACACACAGGAACGTAATATACAGTGTTTTGTAAAAAAAAAAAACAAAACAAAAAACAAAAAAAAATAACACAAAAGGTTAACTTAGGAATGATTTCATCTTCAACCACATTACACATCTTTTTAAGACAATGAAACCTCTTGCTACTGCAAGATTTTTCAGTTCATGATGATAGTTTCCACCTTTTTTTCTTTTTCTTAAAGTTAAAAAATAACAAGGGAAAGGTTGGTCTGTTTGTTTGATTCTTATTTCCCCATGAGACCGTGAGGACAGTCAATGTCACTCACTGCAGGCTGTCTTCCTCTTGTTTTCAGGACTACCCAGACCCACGGCTCTGTGGCATGGGAATGAAACTGGTAGAGGATGCTACCAACATCAAAGGATGGAGATAAAAAGATGGGCGCAGCTGGATCTTGCCACAACTGTAAGGTTGGGCACAGCCACTCCCAGCAAGACTTGCAGACCTTGCACAGTCACAGGAGCAAGCAGTCTCCTGGGTGAACGCCTCTTCACATCTGCCTGCTAGGAGGACATACATAAAAGAGCATTTTCACTAACCACTGGTGTGATGGCTAACATACACCATTACCAGAGAAGGGGCAAGCACACTCAAGAGACCTCAGTCAGTAGTGGTGTTGGGGTACAGAAGAGAATGTTCTTTATTTTCACACTTCCTGCACTGGTCAATTCTGATCACAAATTAACCTCAACAGGAAATCGTAATGATATATACAAACCATGCACAGTCTTTATCACTGTGGGAATCCAGTAATACATGCAAGATGGCAGAGAAGGGACAACGGATGAATGTGAACTTTTCACAGTGTTTCCTACAGCCTTCGATTTCAACACAAGTGTGTCTCTCAACACCACTATCTCACAAACATTTTACTGTGTCCTGGGCATGCAGATCACTTGGGGTGAAATGGAAATTACATTTCATAGTTATTCTCATACGGTGAATAACAACTTCAATTTTTCCTACTTTCCAACCAATGAATTGAGCTGCTTCTCCTAGAAAATGAAATATATTTCCAAATATTTTTTCAAGTCAATGGTTGTGCTTTATTTTTCCTTATTACTCCATTCATTTCATTCTAGGAAAATTCAAAACCCACAAAATAAAATTGAGGACTAGGTCTTTGGATTGATTTCTTATCAAAGTAGTCACAGAGGCAACCACTAACTTTTCCTGTCCGAAGCTTCTGTTTACCTACCCCAAGTCCTTATTGATATTGATTCAGTTGTCTAGTTTTCCAGGAAGGAAACTCATATTGGAGAACTGGTATTTCTGTCTAAAAGAAGCAAAATATAATGATGGGGGCCAGTGAGCAGGGGGGTGGGGAAGATGCATTCTATGTCAAAAAGACTCTCTTGCTCTCAACAGGAGAGAATCCAGCTTCTCCTTAGCGATCATTTCATAAATTAATAATTTCTTAAAATCATAATCCAAAGAATTTACTATTACAAGAAATGTTCAAGTTTTACAAAAAGCAAATAAATTAGTTAAGCCTTGTAAACAATTGTCCATCTTAGTTATACATCTTTAAAAAAAAAAAAGACTTCTCTATATAGTACATGAGACAGTTCAAGGCACACCCTACATATCAGAACCCAGAGTGGCGAAACCCACACAGACACCCTTTTCACTCTGTTTGCTGGGGTAGCCACGTTGGGGGTGCTCTGCAGTCACATGCCCATCCACTGCTCAGCTCCCGATGGTCTGGACGTCCACAGATGTGCTCTTTCCAAGAAGTTTCTTTGTGCTATTTTGTTGTGTGATGTGATTTTAAGCTTTCTCAGTGTTAGGTCTCCTCAGATGTTTTCCACAAAACTTCCTGGGAAAAGGCCAGTTTTCCCATTACGTTGTAATGTGCCTTTGAACCAGCCATCCTCGCGTTTTTTATGAACAAACACAATATCTCCTTCTTTAAGTTCAAGTTCTGCCTCACTCTGAGGAGGATAGGAAACCACCACCCTGTGCCTACAAAAGAGAGAGACTTCAGTTAAGGCAACTCAGGACATAAACAAAAATGGAACACAGTCAATCTGCATGATCCCTCAACATGAACAGAACTTACACATAAATTTAAAAGAGTGTGTAAAACTCTAAATACAACAATTCTCTGTTCACTGGAGACATGGTATCAGTGGAGACTTGGTATCAACAAAGACTGAGTTTAGATGTTTATATTAGCCCACTAATGATGGCTGAGTTGGTGCATTTGAGTGACCTATTCACAGAGGGCTATTTTTGTCTGCTCACAGCATTTATATCTGGCTATACCCAAGGATGTTTGTTCTGTTCCATTTCCCAAGAAGGGAAACGTTTCTATCATGCCGTCTACTACAGGAATAGGTGAATAGATTTGTCTGATTTCTGAGACTTGGAGAAGCAGCCGAGCAAACTGTGAATCACTTCCTTACAGACTGTGCTCTGCCTCAATGCTGTGAGCATGGGGAGGTGAGGCAGAGGGCCTACTGCCTGCAGGGAATCTGGAAGGCTGTCTTTGTGCCTCTTCTAAGGGGATTTAATGCCAGAAAGACAGCACTACCCTGAGGAGGTTCATCCATCTCACACAGCCAAGTCTCCCCTTGGGAAGGAGGTCCCAAGGTCCACACTCAGAGAGAAGGTGCAAATTTAATCCCTACCACCAGCAGTGATGCTGGGGTTCTGATCTCATTAGTCCTGCCTGTCTGCTTTTCCTTGGTTCTCCGATGTGAGTGGGAAGAGGTGTGCAGAACACTTAAACATCTTGGCAGCTGTTGGTTTAGCATTGCCTGTTGCCCATCCCTTGCCTCTAAGCCTCTCTCGCCCTATGCAGGATTATGGTCAGCAGCTAATGAAGCTGGGAGATGGGGGTGGAGGTGAGGCGCTTTGTTTTAGGTTCCTTTTTTTTGTTTTGTTTTAGTCTTTCTCTATTCAACATTATTTTTCCCTTTACTCTTCTCTTGCTTTTCTTAGGGGGGTGGGGGGGTGCATGGCAGCCATCTTCCAGTGACCCCAGCCATGACAGCCATCCTCCAGTACTTCCAGCCATGGCAGCCATCCTCCAGTGACCCCAGCCATGGCAGCCATCCTCCAGTACTTCCAGCCATGGTAGCCATCCTCCAGTGACCCCAGCCATGACAGCCATCCTCCAGTACTTCCAGCCATGGGAGCCATCCTCCAGTACTCCCAGCCATGACAGCGATCCTCCAGTACTTCCAGCCATGGGAGCCATCCTCCAGTACTCCCAGCCATGACAGCGATCCTCCAGTACTTCCAGCCATGGTAGCCTTCCTCCAGTGGCCCCAGCCATGGTAGCCATCCTCCAGTGGCCCCAGCCATGACAGCCATCCTCCAGTGGCCCCAGCCATGGCAGCCATCCTCCAGTGCCTCCAGCCATGGTAGCCATCCTCCAGTGGCCCCAGCCATGGCAGCCATCCTCCAGTGGTGCCAGCCATGGCAGCCATCCTCCAGTGGCCCCAGCCATGGCGCCATTCTCCAGTGGCTCCAGCCATGGCAGCCATTCTCCAGTGGCACCAGCCATCCTCGCCCCCTCAATAAGAGGGGCTTGCATAGTTCCCTTCTACAATACATAGGGATGGCCTATGTGATGAATAAAACATTCTGGAAGTGATAGTGTGCGATTTCCGAGGCTAGGTCATTAACGGTATTGCGGTTTCCACTTTACTGACCCTTGGGTCATTCTCTCTATGAAAATCAGCCACTATGGGTGAGGTTACTAAACACCCCTAATGAGGGTACCACATAAGGATCTGAAGCCATTTTCCAAAAACCAGAGCTAACCAGTCAACAGTAATGTGAAAGAACAGCCTAGAAGTAGACCCTCCAGACCCAGTCCAGCAACTTTACAGCCTGGTCCTTCCTCCAATCTCCATTCCACCAAAACAAAATCCACTCACATTAGTAAAGATCACAACAAGAATCTCATTCTTTGAAAAGACCAAGTGGCTACCCAACAGCTTGGGGCACAAAGGATCAGATTACTCTAAAAAAATCTGAAACAAAAGCACAGCATGGAGATTAGTTTATCATTTCTAGGAAAGGTTCATCCACCTCAGTCATGAGAGCTTAAAGACCTCAATGGCAATCGAGTGCGGAGTTGGGAAGAGGCATGGCACTGTAGGAGTCTGGGCTTGAGGGCTGACACAGTGTTTATGGTCACTTAAAACAGCTCAACTTGAGTCAGTTAGTACTCTGTGTCAGTTTCCTATAAAACAGGACTACCATGAGTTAGGTAAGTAGTTAATAAGCAGTGTGATGTGATTATAAGAGCGAGGTCCTTAGCCTGGTGATTGACATAGTCCAACCTCAGTGTCAGTCAACTCTCACTTCAATAATGTGGCTTACTCAAGAGGAGGCAGGAACCTGGCACTTTAGAGAGGGAATTTTGAAGGGTGTGCTAGTCAATGACCGGCAAAGGAACTCAGTCTACAAGCTAAAGAATCTCCTGAGGTGAGACTTCACACACTTTAGAATGACATAGAGTTTTGGAATCCCTTCACTGACATCTTTAAAAGCAAGCGAACAATTTCATCATGGACTTATCTGAAGGAAAAGATCCAGATGTGATTTCTCAGGTCTGATGCCAACAGGATAAAAATCCACATAAAAGCAATGATGTAGTTGCCATTTGGGGCAAGTTAAAATTTAAGCAAAGCATTATAATTCTGGAGGAAAAATGTACCAGTGACTGCAAACATATTCAGAGTAAATCTCTCATGAGATACATTTCTGACTGGCAGTCTGCAAGCTGCCTTAAAGGTAAAATGGAACAAAAATACTTAGAAAAACTTGAAGTGAATTAGATTAATATTTGCATTTTATAAAATGCACTAAATCAATTTTGTTAGAAAATTCTGAACTAGAATGGCTGTTGGGCTAAGAACATAATCTTCCTGCCAAGTTCCCAGTGGGAGCAAATTTTCATTGCTAAGTTATAAACCTTGAGGGGGACGGGGTGGAGTGAGAACCATGTGCATAATGGAAACTGTGACAGAGTCTTCACCATGTGAGGACTGCCAGGTACAGCAGTGACGGACTCCACTGAGAAACCTTCCAGCTCAGACCTTGGCCTTGAGCTTTGTGAGCTGGTTTGCACTGAAACTTCTCACACACACCCAGAAGGCCAATGCCGGCAGGACAGGCCAACAAGCTAAGGCACTGAAAAGCTCTGCCACACAGAATATTTACAGAGACCAAAAAACAGATGTAAGGCACAGCTGTGGAGGCCCTTCACATCTGTTGCCCTGCCCTCTGCTTTGCTTGGCTTATGTTTGCCTTTGTATGAATAGGGATCCTGGACACATTTGAACACTGTGAATCAAAGCCCTATCTCCAAGTCTTCTGTGGCATCTGTTGACCCACCTCTCAAACCTGCCCCACCCTATTCAGTTCTTTTCACTGTCACTGTCACCATCTTGGTTGACGACCTCGTTATGTTCTGCGTGTTTCCTGCATTGTATCTGTCTCTTCCTGTCCCCAATCCATTCTACATATAACTCAAATATTTGTATTAAGTGGTAACTCTACCTGTAGCTACCCATTGCTGACAAGTCATTAACAGGTTCCTGTACCTGTAGGGTGAATCCTCCTACTGCCACACCAAGCCCTCAATGATCTGGCCTTAATCTTACTTTATAGCCAGAGCTGCTGTCACCATGAACATTCCAAACACTCTCTGAATGTCTCCTGAATATGGCTTCACCTCTCCGCCTCCACACCTTGACTCAGGCATCTCCTTACACTAGGAATTTCTTTGACAATACCTCTGCCCATCCACACCCTATCAATCTCTCCGGGCCTGGCTACAGTTCTTCCTTGTGAAATCTCTAGCCTCGTAGCTGGAAGTAATTTCATGCCTGACTAAATCCCAGAGGACTCCGTGTGCATTTCTCAGGGCACTTAGCACAGTCTACACTGTATTTTTACCATCTGTGTCCCCTTCTCATTTGTTCTATCAGGCCACAATCTGCTGGTGGGGTGGGATGATGCTAAATTCAGTTTATCTGCCTCGAACTACCAAGATTAATACATATGATCATTTTTACCAAGCACAGTAAATGATGAAGAGAGCCAATAATACTGTAAGGCTTTTAAAAAATGTACAATCTTCTTTTAAAATGAGTGAAATAAAAAAAAAAACAATGAAATTCTGATGTGTTACATTATGGAAGAGCAGGGGTAGGAGAGAAACACACACACACACACACACACACACACACACACACACACACAAACACACACACCGATAACTGGTATACTGGTTGCTTGAAAGCACTTTGGTCTCCTTGAACAAAGCACATAGGGCGGTGTAGGGTGTGACTCAGTCTCTGGAGTCTAAATTTGCCTCTTCTTCTAGGTGGCTATGCCGGCTACTAGGGTGGAGCTAGAGAGATATAGTCTTGCTGTCTGGGAGAAGTAGCCACAGGCAATGCTAGCCCTTCTGGTTTGGGTCACGGCATTCTAACCCCCATCTTGGCAGGCAATGGCAATCTTCTGTTAGTATTCATTTTTCTATTTCCTTCATTTTTCTGACCGTGCTGGTGTCTCTGAAGCACTCACATTTTCATTTCTAATCTCCCCTTGTATGACCCCAATGGGGCCCCCTGTGGCTCTGGAAAGCATCCCATCCATCACCCTGATCTGGGTGAGTGACCATTTGCTGCTTTCTGCCAGTTGCCACAGCAATCTAATATCCAATTAAGTATTTCCCTGGCAAAACCATCGTAGCTGGCTTTGTAGCATGCTCAAGTCCAAGTAAATTATGTCCATTGCTTTACCCAGCGGGTTCATTGTCACTGGCTGAAAGAAATTAATCATGCTGGTTAAGTCCGACTGCCTTTCTATATATCTACCACTATCCAATTTGTATGTTTCCAAGTACTCTAATTTAATCCCTGATCAAAGACCACAGGTTCTTTTTCTAATTTAGGAGATGGGCTTGCAGGTATGTGGTTACTGCTTTAATTCCTAAACTTAAAAATACACACAGGTAGTGGTGACTCTCTGTCTTTCCCTAAGCCATCCATGTGTGTGTGTGTGTGTGTGTGTGTGTGTATGTGTGTGACAAAAAATACTGTCGCACATATTTTCATTTGCCACTCCTTCTGAAATATTTTCTTTCTCTTTGAAATTTCTTAATTATTTTTTTCCTCAATCCCTCTAAAATAGAGCTAAAAATATTTGTTCTATTATTTCTGCTGTCATCAATTATGCATCTTCTGCCTCCAGGATACAGTTCTATTTCATGCTTGTTTTCTTCAGCAGTTTCTGGCACAAACACAAAAGAATCCTTTTGTTCCCCAAGAGAATTTCTCTCAGCTGACACCAAGACCTGTCAACACACTTCAAGGCTCATCCTTCCTTATTATGAGACTGCTTGGCTTTGTGTCATGTGACTGCTTCTTTCCATTCACAGCGAGGCTGCCTTAGCCATTTTTTTACTTTATTTTTTCCCCATTCTACTTAAGATTTATGGGAGAGGACCATGGTGTGACAGGAGTTTGCTCTCGTAATCTGCGGCTGAACCTAAGCTCATACCGTCCCAGTATTACACGGTGAAAAATATTTCGATCAAATTCTATCAGTCAAAGTTCTACCAAAAGGATCCTGGGCTTCTGCACTGTGCCAGAGCAGGGGTTGTTGATGTTTATGCTGCGAATGAAATGTCTGTAAGATCTTTGAGTGCTTTCTGAATCACACTAATGTGAAAGTTAATCCTTCCTTCATTTTAAGCACTAAGTACTTTCCACTGGGTTGAAAGTTTTGAAATATGCAAACTGATAATCCCTAAATTATATACTTGGTAGCTTTCTATTAACCAAAAATCTTCATCCTCAGTGGATAATAAACCATTTTCCCATACAAGTTTCCCATTGTTTTTTACAGTCAGGCAGACTTAAGAATACAGGCTAAATAAATACCATTATCGTCATTGTATGAAGGTAAAAGGCTGTGGAAAATTGGTGGGGCTATTACATTTAATATTCCATTGAGCATATGAATTATAAAAACACAAAGTTGGTCTGAAATCTTCTTTAAGGACCCCCTTCCCACTCCACAAAATTGAAATTATTATATAAAACCTGCCAGTAAATTCCTGAGTGCCTGTGCCCATCTGTCGTCATTAAATTCTCCATGTTCCCTATCTGCTGTGTGTCCCTCACTCCCGAACACCATCACCTGTCTGGTTAACAGTTCTCCTTTTCAGATGCCCTGAAAGGGAGGAGCCTGCTGTTAGAAAGCTCATTTCTAAGAGGAAAGAACAGGAATGCAGAAGCCACAGGGACTGAGGACATCTGGCAATTGAAAAGGAATGCATAATGGGGGTGCCGGAGGCAGTGGTGCCCAGCCAGGCCTAGGGAGAGTCTAGGCAAAGTGAACCATCATTCCAACTGACTGACACAGATACCACAAAGGATGGGGGCGGTGTGTGTGTGTGTGTGTGTGTGTGTGTGTGTGTGTGTGCTCTCAGGGCGAGAGGGAAAGCTGCAGACCAATGTCTGGAGGGAGAGAAAAAAACCTTTGTAACTGAAAGTACACGAGTAACTGGACTAGCTCCAGGGACAGGAGGCACTGTGCCTCGAAAGCAGCAGTGTAACTGCAGGGAAGGTTCACTCTAGAAGGAAACAGCAAGCGAAGCCAGGACACAGTGTCAAAGATTCACAGGAAACAGAGTGAGAAGCACAGTGATTCCCTATTTGGGGAGGAACATCTTTAGGGTAATATCTCATTTCAAATCTTTTCTTATGAGGGTTAAAACTATAGAAAAATATTTTACCTCTCTATGTAAATACACATCAGTGTACCTTATATACATAGGTTGCTTGATGGTTATTTCCCATTTTCATAGTTTAAGAATGTGCCACAAAACCATATAAGCGAAAGTTTCAATACAAATGTTTATACAGTTCCATTTGAAATACAAAGGAACAGTGAATGAGTCATTTTAAATTATAACATGTCACAGTTAAATTTCCAATCTGCAGCACAGCCAGGCATGGGGATACACACCACTGGGGCTAACCACCTGGCAGGCTGAGGTAGAGGGTTGAAGTCAGGAATGTGAGACCAGCCTGGGTCACGTGGTAAGATGACGTGTCAAAACAACAACAATCAAATCTGCAACACAGAAAATGTCAACCACTGGGAACACCTCTAAAAATCAGAAATGGTTTTTCTTCTGAAATTCAAATCGAGGAGGAATCAAGTGAATAGAAACAAAACAGATGACACTCGAAATAAATGTTTGCTGTATGAAAACAGAGCAGTAATTTAATGTACCTCGTGACATTTTCTTCGGTAATGAATAGCATTTAACTTTCCAGTTTTTATAATCCTGACAGATACTCATTTTATTAAGTGTATTTTCTCCCATGACACACACCTAGACTGCCCCCCCCACTAATGTTTGGAGCAGAATTCCCATGGGTAAGCATTGTTCAAGGTCAGAATCACTAAAGAGAGTTCATTATTCTGAGTGTAAGTGAACCAAGTCTGGTCCAGGAGAGGAGTCGGAACCCAGACTATTTCTTCTGGCTGGGGAAGCAGAGGAAGACAGTTCACTGGGTGGCAGAATTCTCCACTATCAGCAGGTAATGATGTAGGCTCTTAATAAAACAAAGAATTTTTTATAAAAAGGGAATGAAAATGAAAAGGAAAAGAAAGGGAGCTACCCAGTATGAACAAATTTCCAGTGACCAACAAATGTCATGTGGATGATTCTGGATCTGTTGATTAGAAACAGGAAAAAGACCAGGCCCATGCCTTTAATCTCAGCACTCAGGAGGCAAAGGCAGGCAACGAGTTCCAGGCCAGAAGCCTGGTCCACATAGTGAGCACCAGGCCAGCTGGAGCTACAAGGAGACCCTGTCTCAAAAAGACTAAAAAAAATGAAATGAAATGAAATGAAATGAAATGAAATGAAATGAAATGAAATAGAAGCAGGAAAAAAAGGCTGGAGACTTGGTGAGAAACACGAGACAGAAAAAGTGAATAGATTTGTGTAGCAAAAGGAAAAAGAAACTATGCTCGAAGGTCATTGCAAATTCAGTTTAAAATTTCAGAGGGCTGTAAAGAATGATCTTAAGGATCAGAATAAAATTTCCAGCATAAAGCTTGCTATTTACTTATTAGTTTCCTCTGAGCATGAACTGAACTCACCTTTCACAAACAACAGGTCTGGCCTCATTCATCACAGGACCCAGAGAGGAGCAGGCCTGCCGCGGCGGTGGAGCGATGGGCACTGCGGAGTCCAGGGAGCTGGTCTTGCGGTGGAAAGCATCCTGGGCCAAGGCTGCTCCGGCTGCCCCGGTGACCACAGGGCCATCCCCATCTGCAGGGCAGGAGCCCGCCCTGCCGTGGCCGCCCCCTAGCGGCAGCTCGGGACCCACCGCTCCTTGCAGGGGCAGCTCACCTGGGCCCAGCTCCACGTCCAGGGTGGGTGACGCCGGAGGGGACACTCGGGGCTTGCGTTTGGTGGAGGCTCCAGAGAGCAACTTCAGCAAACCCTTTTTTTCTTTCTAGGAAAAAGAAACGGATATTCATTGGAGATGGGCCATTATTATTACTACTATTGCTGTTGTTACCAGTATTTATTGCTCTTACCATCTAAAAGGCACCCCAGTTTCCATTTTTGATTGGACCTCAGTTAGTCTTAATCTGGTTAGCAGTATTTGTGTGATGTTAATCTGACCTTTGACTATTGCCTCTCCCTCTCTGCCTGCCTACTTTTGTCTGTTTTGGGCATTCTCTTGTTCACTATCTTCTAGTGAGGCAGCAAGATAAGCGGATTAAAAAGATGCAAAACAAAAAAATTTACATGTTCACCAATTTGTATTGTAGTTTTCTAAAAGTACAAGTGGCCAGCAAGGTGGTTCAGTGGGTAGAGGTGCTTGCCCTCAAACCTGAAGACCAGACTTCAATCCCTTGGACCTATATGGTAGAAGACGGGAATCACCTCCCACAAGTTGTCCTCTGCTCATCACATAGGCACAGTGGTGTGTGCATACACACATACACAAGCAAATGAACATAATAGCAAAGTAAAAGTAGATGTTGCAGAATAAAATGGAGATGTCAGATTATGGGTTTAATTTCTTGAAATTCTGCCTGTCCTGTCTCTGATGACTGTGAGGGCAAGTGACTGGGTGCTCAGAAAACCCAACACTTTACTCCACGTCAGCACATTTGAGCCATATCACTCGGAAAGATGCCTAGATGGGCATCAATCAGGTCATGCCTTGATTCCATTTAACCAGCCAACAGCATTCCTATTGTTCAAGTATTTCCTTGACTAGAAACCCTAAAACAACTCCACAAAATTTTAAGGGATACTTTACTACATTAATATTTTTGTCTCTTTTTGCAAGCAAACACACATTGCTTTTTCTCAGCAACCCCATTCTCCTCCCCTCCCCCCCCCAAATCCTGAATTTTTGTCTGACCTTTTTTGCTCTGCAAAGAAAGCCAGGTGTTGAGCTAGCTACTTTATTCTCAAAATCTGCCACTGAACTTTCCAGTCACCAGGTTTAACGTCGTTACTGTCAAATCATCATCTTAAATTGTTTTACTAAAATGTCAATGACATCATTAAGTGCTCTGAATAGAAACATTACCTGAAAATGACAATTTTCATAGAGAAGTATTTCTTTAGAATTAAGGCCCAAAACAGAGACATGGAGTTATCAGGAGCTCACAAGGAGATCCAACACCCAGGAACCCTTCTTGGGGATATGAGTTAGTTCAGACTCAAAAAAACATCCCCTTGGGGAGTGAATCACTACCTACAATAACACAATTCCACTAGAGACAGAATGAAAAAAAAAAAAAAAAAAGGAGACAAGAACAGTCATTTATCTGATGATGAGCAAACACCCCTGGGAAACTGCACAGTCCCATCTATAAATACTGCTCAGAATGTGTGGTACTATCTGGGCTAGAAATAGGAAGAGGATAGGAGAGTGCTAAGAGTGAGTGCTAGGGTGCCTGCCTAGCCTCAGCTACACATGAGCAGGGCGAATGGATCCTCTTGACCCTCTCGACCTTCTCCCACACCAAGGAAGAGCTTTTGCTTTTTTCTTCCTGGCCTGATCTCAGTTTCATCTTGCTGTGCTTTGCTTCAGTCTCTCACTGAATGTCACATTTTCCAAGAGTCTACTGTGTACATTCCATTAAATAACCTTACAAACTTGACTACGTGCTTGAGTGCAGAGCCCAGCATAGAGCTTGGCACCATTAAAGTGGAGAGGCCCAGAACACTGCAAGGGAATAAGATCAATAGAAGGAAGGGCAGGCAAACAGTCAGCAAGAGCCAGGGCCAAGATGACCAAACGGGAGGTTTTAGATTTCCCCAATCAAGCACTGGTCAATGAAGTAGACTGTTTGCCAGTGCTGTGGTCCTACTCCCATGGGGCAGCTGCACTTAGGAAAGAAGAGTTTCTGACAGCTTCTACTTCTAAGGTAGCAGTCCACTACAACTTCTAACTATGCCTGCCAGGATTTAAAAAATCACAATCTAATCCCTGGACCCCCATGGATTGACTGAGAACATCAAGACCATTGATAAATTACAATCTCAGCAAGCTGCAGCTAAAGATGTTGCTTTAAAGCTCAGATCTCGGCACTCAGAAGAATATCAGATAACTGAATTGCACACAGGGAACAGCTTCTAAAGTGATTAAGAAGAAAGATGACTTGGTTCATTGAAATTGATTAAACCCATTAAATACAACTCGCTTTAACGACTTCTAAGGGATGTGCTATCATCATCAACTGATGCTGACTACCCATGGAGCAGAAGGCAGAGAATTAGGCATCATGGCAGGGTGCAGGAGGGAGGGGGTTGGGGTACCAACACATGAAAGATACAGCCCTAGTTTCATGGAGCTGTGCTGTTTATAGCATATTCTGATGCATTCGCTATTAGTACAGCAATGTGCCACTTGAGAGAGATAATTTTGGAAATTCAGACACTTATCTAAGGGCACCTTTATTTATTTCAAAACCCAACACCAGAAATGAAAAACAGGGAAGAATTGATAGTCTACACTTTGGCAAAGTGATTCTTTAAAAATAATGTTAGCACATGTGAAAATGGAGGACATCGTTTACTAGGCTCCTTAATAACTCATCTCCTGTGGCTTTCCCCTTAATCACTCCCAGATGAAATAATGTCTTTAGAATCATTTCAGATCTGATGATTTAAAACAGTATCATATATATACACATTGAAAAAATCTGGGTCAAAAACTAATCAGTAGATAATCAGACAAAGTTACTTCTATATGCAAAACATTTTCAAGTTGGGTATGGTGATGCATGCCTGTAACCCCAGCTACTTGGGAGAATGAGGCAGGAGGATCTCCTGGAGGCCAGCCTGGGCTACTTAGTTCAAGGACAGCCTCAAAACAAAACAAATGGTTGGGAAGATGGTTCAGTTAGTAAAGTGATTGCCATGTACTCATGAGGCCCTGACGCCAATATTCAGATCTCATATAAAAAGGCTAGACGTGGTAGTCTAGGGAGGTGAAGACAAGTGGATCTCAGGTTCTCTGGCCGGCCAGCCTAGCCTAACCTACAAGCTCAATGCCAGAGCGAGATCCTGTCTCAAGGTGGATGACTTCTGCAGAACAACGTGTGAGGTTGACTTCTGACCTCCATATTCATGTGCACATATATGTGCACCCACACAAAACAAAACATACAAACAAAACAAAAACAAAAAATAGGATCATCTATTTAATTCCTCCTAGATATATAACAGCTGAATACAACATAGGAAACTTCAAATCAGAGCTCTTTCCCAAGTAAAACTGAACTTTATTTGAGCAACTCACAACCAACAACATTCTTCTTTTTGAAGACATACGTAGCAATTAGCCAAAGAGTCTTCCTGGACCCAGAGGTCTATAATCTGTTTACCAGTTTGCTAATACTCAGAGACATTGTTCTTAGGTAAGGAATCTCAAAAAATAATTCCCATGCTTAATAATAATCATTCCTACTTTAAACAAACATTTGAGCATCTAACATGAACCAGGCAACCATATGCCCTGGGAATTTGGTGGGGACAGTTTGTGTCTAACGGAAACAAAGATGGCTGTAAAACAGGCCCTCTCCCCAAGAAAAAGCAGAAGGGGAAAGGAATGACAGGGGAGCGCCATGGGAGACACCAGGTAGGGTAAAAACAGGCAAGGCTTCTTTGAGGAAGGGTCTCCTGAAAATCTAGAGATGACTAAACATCACCAGGTTCAAGGCTCTTGTTAAATGCTATTAAGAGGAGTTCCATATTTAGTCTTCACAGCAACCTGATGTGGTAGGAATTAATTATTCCTATTGCCTAAAGCTCTGTAAACTTGTCTAAAATCACCATGCTGGGGCTAGAGAGATGGCTCAGTGGTTAAGAGCACTGACTGCTCTTGCAGAGGACCGGAGTTCGATTCCCAGCAACCACATGGCTGCTAACAACTGTCCGTTAACTCCAGTTCCATGCAGTTCGACACCTTCTGACCGCCACAGCCACTGCATAACATGGGTGCACTTCATACATATAGGCAATACACTCATACACATAAAACAAAAATAACAAATAAAATATTAAAAAATAATAATCATAAATAAAGTAAAACCACCATGCTGGTAAGGGGTAGAAATGAGATTCTACTCTTCAGAGTGATAAGAGCAGACCCAGCCTTAGCCTCAGCCTCAGCCCCAGTCAGTACCCCCCAAGCCCCTCTCTCTCTCCTCTTTCCTCCCCCAACCTCCCTCCTTCTCCATAGTTCCCAGATGAACTCTGTGTGCAGTCAGGCAATCTAAAGGCCTGGTCTGGATCCCAGCTCTCACTGAGAGCAGGAACAGTAACTGGCCATTTGGTAGGTCCTTAGGAAAGTTCCATGGCAAAGCACACGGATGATCTTGTTTTTGACAACAAAATAGAACTGGGGGAGGAGGGGCAGGAAAATCATTTGAGCAAGGAAAATAATCAGTAAAGATGTCAGGAAGAGAGTTCAGAGGAGAAGGTGAAACTGGTAGATCCTCTGCTTAAGAAAACGAGAAAAACAGGAAAAGCCTCAAACAAACAGTGACTGATTAAGAAGCAAGCCCTGGGGTTGTTCCCTAGGGGGGGAGAATCATCAAGAATTTTGGGTTGAGGGATTTGAGGCATTTAACAGTGACCTTGGGTTCACTTTTGGGAAACTCTCCAGAGGCTGGGGATGGCACAGTTGGTAAGAGTTCTTGCTCATTAGTCATGAGGACCTGAGTCTAAATCCCCAGCACCCACGTAAAAAGTTGGACATGGCTATGTATAACCCTATCGCTGCAGGGCGAAGACAGTGAAGCCCAAGAAACCCGTCCAGACAAAGCCGTAAAACTGATGACTATGGGCAAAATCAGGAATGTCAAGCAAAGAATCACAACAACCATAGAAAGGGTCAGGATTTCAAACATGGGATGCCTGAGATGAAATCTGAAAACAGAGTTCCAGAAGCTCATTGTCAAATGATGTTCATGCACCAAAGTT